GTGTGTGTGTGTGTGTGTGTGTGTGTGTGTGTCGCTGTACTTGACTGCATTGAGGAGATTATGGCCCGATGCAAGGAGCATGAACAGGAGGCTTCACGTAATCTGATGAGATCCAACCTGGCACTCAGTTATGAGATCAATACATTTTGTAGTGATAGCTCGCCGAGACCTCGCTTCATGCCTCGTCGCCTCAGATGGATGGTCAACTCCTTGCCCGTTCTCGTTCTATGTTGTTCTCTTCATTATTGTTAAGCAGGGAACTGTGTTCTGAATAAGGCCCTATGAATGGTACATCCTCATGATCCTCTTGTTTTGTGCTTTAATAAATGCTCGGTTGTCTCTTTGTGGATTGGAGGCTTATTGGCATATGGATGGTTGAAGGTCACTTTCTGTAATTGAAGGGAACATATAAGACTGGGTACAGCGTAGAAACCTATGGCTTAACCAGTTGTACAACGGCTTAATGTCGGGCTCATGGCACGGTGCACCGTGGGTAACATAGAATCACACACACACACACACACACACACACACACACACACACACACACACACACACACACACAATCAGTTTTGTGTATGTACGCCTTTTGTTTCTTGCTTGTCCTTCCTGCGTTTTTTTCCGAGTACTTTCTGTGTCTAAATGAGCACCTTTAAGCAGCGCTAAATAGTAGGTGGTCCATTGACAAGAGTGCCTACAGGACTCTTAGGGGAGCCACTGTGTTTCTGATGTCGGTGTGGTGCATATGGTCTATGGGTGATGACAGACGTCCATTGAAGTGACCCCTCAGGCTGGCTTAGTGGGTGGTGGGAACCAACAGTGTGGCATACTGTGCAGCCACACGGGCCCTGCAGGGCCCGTCCCGGACCTCCAGCCTGTTTCCCTACAGGGAAACTTCCAGGCTCTTGCCTGGAAGCTTCCTTCTGGCAGGGCCTACAGGCCCCAGCCTGTTTCCCTACAGGGAAACTTCCAGGCTCTTGCCTGGAAGCTTCCTTCTGACAGGGCCTACAGGCCCCAGCCTGTTTCCCTASAGGGAAACTTCCAGGCTCTTGCCTGGAAGYTTCCYTCKGACAGGGCCTACAGGCCCCAGCCTGTTTCCCTACAAGGAAACTTCAGGGAACTTCCAGGCTCTTGCCTGGAAGCTTCCGCAGGGTCTAGGCCAG